CTCTGCCCAGCAGGACTAATGTGATGGGGGAAGAAACGTAGACCTGGGTTTGACTCTACCTTTCGCTAGTTGTGGGCAAGTCACTTAACCTTTCAGGATCAAAATTTTCTCTTCTGAAAATAGAGATAATAATACCCACCACAGTACTCAGGAAGGAAAAGGTAACCAAACATTAGCTGTCTTTTCAGCAGCACCACTTACTTCCCACCTTCCCCCACCTGCCACCTCACAAAAATAGTTTAAGCCAAAGAAAAGATGCTTCTATCTGAATATCAGTAGTCTGAATTCCTGTTGACTGATAATCCTAAATTATTCTTAGCAGACATTTAAATATTAGATTTTAATGAGTAGGGTTTCTGGCCTGGAAACCAGATAAGGGAAGCATATTTTTATAGGGGACATTAATAAATTCAACCTTTGTAAAGTTAGGAGTTAGGAAGAACTGTATTAATTTGCTACTTCTGGGGTTTATTTGTATCATATTTCTAAGCATTCCTCTCCCATAGAAATCGTCTTTCTTCACACTATACACAAGGCAGGTATTGGCAGTTAAGGTATTATGGGGACGCTGATTCATGGGAATGTTGATTCTAGCTCAGAGAAGGAGCTGGCCAAGAGAATCAATATCGTCCAAAGCAAATATATATTTTTGTACTTTATATATTTAAATTCCAAGAAATACATCTAGAACATGCATAATTAGCTAGAGCTACAAAGTTACCTTTTCAGAAGGCATATTTACCTAGAGAAGTTATACATGTTTCATAGAGAACAAACAGACGATGTAAAAACATAGTCTCCCTTTGGTTTGATATTCAGTGTTTTTCCCATGCAAAGCATGCATTCCTTAAATGATCAGTTTTAAAACACGTTGCATTAAGAAGCATCTGCTACTTATTGTGATTTTAGTAATTTGTTACACACAAAGTTCCAAGGAAACACTGATATCCTTTGTTAACTTGCAAAAAAAATTTAATAAATTTAAACCTGCTTGAACTTTAAGTCATCACAATTCCTCTAAAAAGCAATTGCATATTCTATGGCATATTGTATAAATAAATCTAATAAGTGAAATAAGAATGTGGGAAGGAGGAGGGGGAAAAACACAAAGGTGAGTAGAACCACTGCATAGTTTATCACAACAGATTTCTTACCCCTGTAATTTAGAGCTAGAACAGACTGTGAAGACATAAATTCATTCATCTGAAAGTACCAAGGCTCAGAAAGGTGACAAGTCATATAACTGGTTAGTGTTCAAAACCAGTGTTCAGACTTCTATTCGATAATGTTTTAAATAGAGTCCATAAATTCTGAGATAGTGTAATAATTGTTGCAACAGTGATAATGGCACTAATATTTATTGAGTACCTCCTATAAACCAAGCACTTGCTTAGCGTTTTATATATATTATCTCATTGAATTTTTACAACCAGCTAATGAGATAGGTAATGGCAACCTCATTTTAGAGATAGGGAAACGAAGACTTAGAGGTTTTTTTCCCTTGTTGACAGTAACACAGTTATTCAGTGGTAGAGCCCCCTCACGACAAACATTGTTTCAAGTTTATCATGTTTAAGTATTTTGCTAGAAACCAAGGGATCAAATAGAAAGAAGACATGGTTTCCCCCTTCTAGGGATTTATATCTTATATCCCTAGAACCTAACATGTAAGATGTGCATGTTAGATGAGTAGCTTTCAAATGCTTTTGAACACGGTACCCAGTAAGAAATATGTTCGTACTGAAACATATATATGCATATATAAATATATGTAAATTCATAGCTAAAACAAAAGTCTTACGGAATACCCTCACTGTGTGATGTACATATTACTTTCTATCCTAGTCTGTTCTATTCTGTTTTAATTTTTAAAAAGCCAATTGTATTTATATGTGTATATCTGTTATCTGTACATATGTATGTAAATGTACATATGTGTACGTATATTTGTAAAACATCAGCTACCGAGAGACCTCCAGAACTCCTTTAGCTATTTCTTCTGTTACTTATCTCCATGTTTTGTTTGGATTGGGCAGGTTTCTTACACTTTGCTTTAGTTTTCTCATATGTCAAAAAGGGATAATAATCCATAGAATATTACTGAGACGTTTTCAGAATTAAATCAGTTCAGGCATATGAACCTCTTTAAACACTGCATGGCCCCATAACAGGCCATTTAAGAAACGTTTGTTATTACCGTATTATTGTTTAAAATTTGATTTTTGCCCATCAGATGTGTATGAAATGGATTTTAATGTGGTTTTAATTTGCATTCTTTTTTTATTAGTGAGGTTGAGCATCTTTTCACGTTTATTGGCACTTTAAGTTTCCTTCTCTCTCCTATTTGGGTATTTTCTTATGAACTGCAGTTCTCTATATACTCTAAATATTCTGAATACTAATTTTTTGTTAGTTATATGCAAGGCAGAGATTTTTTGCAAGCCTGGGGCATTTTTTTTTAACTTTACGAACAACAGAAATCTTTAATGTAGTTTAAATTTATCTAACTTTAATATGTTATACATTTGATTTATGAAATCATTCCCTTAAAACAATGTCATAAAGACATTCTCTTATATTTTCTTATAAAAGTTTGCAAGTATTGCTTTTTATACTTGCATCTTCACCTGGAATTTATTTTTGGGTAAAGGATGACATTTTCTTTTTTCTAGGAGTGAACATTTGTCTCCTGAGTAGGGGTTGCACGCCTTCTTCCATGAAAAGCCAGAAAGTAAATATCTCAGGTTTAGTGGACCGTATGCTCTCTGACAACGACATGGCCAGATAACCTCTCTGACTTGATTTCTTCAAATGAACATTAGAATAATAAAAGTACCTACTTCATGGGAATGTTGTAAGGATTAAACAATCAACTAAATAGGCAATAAGTAAACAAATGGGTAGAGTTGTGTTCCAATAAAACTTCATTTACAAAAACAAGTGGCAGGTTGAATTTGGCTTCTGAGCTGTAATTGGCCAACCCCTGCTCTACACAAATCTCTTATTCAGTGTAGATATTATACAAGGAATTAGTAAATGAAGTATATAGAACCTAGGGTGAACTTCCTCCTGCATACACCAAATGTTCCCAATACCCAAAGGGCCAAAATAGTAATGAGAACAATACTGTTAAAATCTAATAGCAGACATTTATTGAAAGTTTATTGTGTGCCAGGCACTGAATTATTTAATCTATTATTGAATCCTCACAGCATTCTTATAAGTACCATTATTATCCCTTATGTTCACTGGGAGAAATTGAAACAGAGAGATTAAGTAACCTGCCTACATTCAGCTAGTAGGTGGTAGAGAAGTGTTAATAAGTAGATAGAGAAATGATTTTAACCACTGTGCTATACTCGCCTATTTGTCCAAAACCAATGAACCTCTCTAATCCCAAATTTCTTTTATTGCTTCAGGATTTGAAAATTAGAGAATCCTCCTACTCTAGATAAATCAATCAAAGAAAAAAACCATTTATCTGATCCCAAAATTCAAAGCATCACAAAGGTGTTCATATTCCTGATATTCTAGGAATACACATATCACCTCAGTATTTGAATAGTCCTTTTTTTATTTCAGCATATTATGGGGGTACAGTTGATTAGGTTACGTATGATGCCCTTGCCCAAGTCCGAGCTTCAAGTGTGTCCATTCCCCGGGAGGTGCTCATTGCACTCATTGTTTATGCATATGCCCATGCCCTCCTCTCCCCTACCCCCTCCTCCTGCCCAACATCCAATACATGTTATTCTTATATGTGCACTTAAGTGTTGATCAGTGAAACCAATTTGATGTTGAGTACATGTGGTGCTTGTTTGTCCATTCTTGGGATACTTCACTTAGTAGAATGCGTTTCAGTGCTTTCCAGGAGAATACAAGATGTGCTATATCTCCGTTGTTTCTTAAAGCTGCATAGTACTCCATGGTATACATATACCACAGTTTATTAATCCACTCATGTATTGATGGACACTTGGGTTGTTTCCACATCTTTGCAATTGTGAATTGTGCTGCTATAAACATTCGGGTGCAGGTGTCTTTCTTATGGAGTATCATTTGTTCTTTTCGATAGATGCCCAGTAATGGGATTGCTGGATCGAATGGTACTTCTACTTGTATCTCTTTAAGGTATCTCCATATTGCTTTCCACAGAAGTTGCACTAGTCTGCAGTCCCACCAGCAGTGTATGAGTGTTCCTATCTCTCCGCATCCATGCCAACATTTATTGTTTTGGGACTTTTTGATAAAGACCAGTCTCACTGGAGATAAGTGATATCTCATTGTGGTTTTGATTTGCATTTCCCTGATGATTAGAGATGTTGAACATTTTTTCATATGTTTTTTGGCCATTATTCTGTCTTCTTTTGAAAAGTTTCTGTTCATGTCCTTTGCCCACTTTTAGTCCTTTAAAATATTTCAAAAAGTAAAATAAAATATTTCAACTCTATCTGTATATGTGAATATCTATAGACAAGTCTCTCAATGCATTTACCTTCTGGTTTTTGTTCTTACCATTGTGCTGAAATTGTCCTTGACAAGCCACAATGGCTCGGTCAGTCTTCCATCTTTACTTCATTTCATATACTTGCAATAGGAGACTGTTAAATAATTCTTTACTTAAACTTTTATTTCCTTCTTTATATGTCATCTTCCTTCTTTCCAGTTTTGACACATAGAAAAAAGTTGAAACAATAGTGGTTTGGAAACTGTATAATGTTATCGAAATATAAAAATTACTATGGTTTTTGGGAGGCTAGATGAAAAATGAGTTGTATGTGAAAAGTTGAAGAAAAATTTTAATGACTGCAAACATACAGGATATTTTCCCCTGTGAAATGAAAATATTCTTGTTAATTAAGTATTTCTTCTTTTCAAGCATGGTTCTTGACTTAGACACGTGGTGTTCCTTGCAGAAAGCAGTGGTTTAAGGTTCGTAGCCATGTTTAATGGCTAGGAATGTCCAGGCAACAGGAATAATCTCTGGTGTTCTCTTCTAGGTATTTACCTTGCTGTGGATTGCTGACTGGATGGTCCATCACTTCTGGAGGAAAGGAAAGGACCCAGATAGTTTCTCCATCCCCTACCTAACAGCATTGGGTGATCTGCTCGGGACAGCTTTGTTAGCCTTAAGTTTTCATTTTCTTTGGCTTATTGGAGATCGAGATGGAGATGTTGGAGACTAATAAATCCTACAGACTGCTCTCAAGCTACCAAGGAGGACAACATGAGACAACCACTTATGGCTCTTTTTCAAAACTCTTAAATCAGTAGTTTGACTTTTGCAAGGGTAATCTTTCAGTTGGCCCTGATTCAATTAAATGGCCTTAACTTTTTTTTAAGGAATTTGTGTTAAAACCAGAATGAACATTATTTGTGCTGCTTTTTGTAGAATAAATGATAATTTGACATAAACATAGGTATAATCTCAAGCTCTGAAATTAATTAAATAGGAAAGAATATAGGAGGTTTACAGTGAATAATTTTAAAACCACAAACCGCAGAAATGTACTTTATCGTTGTTTAAATTGTACTGCAAGACTAGAGGAAACGGCCCTAGTTCAGCCTTTCCTGTCTCACAAATACGTTGTACTGCAAGGCATACTATAAAATGAAAGGTGCCCAACCAAGCTTTTAAGAGTTTTAACTATGTCTACCTCTATGCTAGCTGAGGATAAATTTACCAATTGCTTATTCCTAAATTGACCTAAATATGTTCTGCTGAGCATAAGATAAACTCAATTTTACCTCCATCTAAAATTACCCTGTGCCAATGTTAATTTAATTTCAAATCTGCAAGTTCTTGGCAGGCTAACCTTTAAGCACAGAATGATCTTGAGAGAGCTTTAATGAAAGCAATGAGTCATTTTTTGATCATTGATTTGTTGAAAAAATGTTAATTTTTAAAGAAAACTTAATAGTCAAAAACAGAAGATAACCTGGGCGGTATTTGTAGAGACAGGATGATATGAGAAATTAAGTATGTATGTGTGTGTGTATGTGTGTTGGGAGGAGACAGACAGAGACACTTTTGATGGAGAACTAAATCTTGGATTGTTGATAGCAAAGATCATAGTGCTATTAGAAGATCAGCACTATGTATTCTTAAACACATTTTGTTGATATGCTTTTGTCATTTGGTCCAAATATTTTGCTACAGACCAGAATTAAGTATTTGTTACCTACATTATAATAGTTTCTTTTTATCAAAAAAGCTATACTATTTAATATAATCAAGATATAAAATTTAGAATGAACAAATGGTTCATTTTCTCTTTTTAAAAAAGCTCATTACATATCCCTTTAAAAGAGTTGGTGGGTTACCTTGGTTATTGTTCATGCCTAAACATATCATTAATTTGCACAGGCTTATTTCTACATGGGACCCTATCACATACATTGCTATATTTCTCATATTTTTCTAAAACTCTGGACTGTATTCTAAATACTTGACCAACACTTATTCAACAGGTAAGCATTTTTATATCACGTGTAGTTTACTTTTTAAAATGTAGTACGATCTCTCAAGACCATTAGCTATTTAATAATTTTAGCTGATAAGGGAATAAAAAATGCACATAAACTTTGATCGTGGTTTAAATTGTGAATTAGTGTTATTATTCTATAAATAGTAGGTTGTTTATAAATATATTCGGAGAAGTATTCTTCTTAAGCTCTTTAAATGAGGGGGCTATGGTTCAGAGTTATATATTTTTGCTTTTTTTAAACTTTAATTATTCTAGTCTTCTGCCTTATAATGAAGCTTTTAAGGCAGAGAACTGAACTAATTATAGAATGTCTCCTTTGGAGAGTTATAATGTCACATAGTGAACATTCTTGTAAAAGAAAGAATGATTAAGTTGATGAATATTTAGCTGCAAAGACATTTTAAAAAATCCATGAATAATATCTTTGATATTATTGTAAAGCATTTGTAAATTAGTTATTAACATTTGGGGTGTGTGATTCATGAGCATTTACATTTCCCATGGTTTCTACTTTGATTTTTTAACACACAAAAAATACAGAGCAAGCTACATTTTTAAAGCATTAACCAACAACTTTAGTCTGGTGTATTACATATTCTGAAGCACATGTAAATACACTATATCATTTAGTATTCACAACAGTACCTGTGAAATAAGTCAGATGGATATTCCTACCTCTATTTTACAGCAGAGGAAACTGAAACTCAGAGAAGTTACATTATTAAGGTCGCACAGCTGCACAGGGCCCAAATTGTAAAGTCCCTAATGTTCAGTTCTCCAATCTCCTAGGCCAGTACTCATCCTATGACACATCTGTGACCCTCCCAATGTACCAAGAGTACCTAATTAACTAAGAGGAAGCCAACTTAATTAAGAAGATTAACTAAGATGATTTTCTAAAGTAAAATGGAGTATTGCTACATCTTTTAGATTTCAGACAGGAAAACCTCCACTTAATATATCTTAATGGTGAGTACATTCAACTCTAAATTATTCATGTTCCTAAGATCGAGGAAAATACAGGTAAACGAAAGTTTAAAAATAAAGAACGATGCTTCAGTTCATAGAACATTTAATTGCCACAACCTTCCCAGACCTAGCCATTTGCCATAGATGCTAATAAATAACTAGTATGACTGATTTGAGTTCTCTCCTCTTTCTTTTTTGTTACCCAGCCTTGGTTACAGCAACTAAGTATTGTATGTAATAGGGGGAAAAATGGAAACATCAGTCATTAATTGGTTAATTATAAAAGGCATGTAAAATCCTCTAAAAAATTATTACTGATTTTTTGAAAGCTTTCACATAAGTGTGCAATCGATAAGATGACTTATTTACCCACAAAATCATTTATCAGTCTTATGTAAATTCATGGTATTTATTTTTCTACAACATAAAAACTCCTGCTTTGTAAACTTCTTCCTTTTACTAATTTATTAATACTTTATTTATATACAGATAACCTTTTTTTTTTTTTTTTTTGAGACAGAGTCTCACTGTGTTGCCCTGGCTAGAGTGCTGTGGCGTCATCCTAGCTCACAGCAACCTCAAACTCCTGGGCTCAAGCAATTCTTCTGCTTCAGCCTCCCGAGTAGCTGGGACTACAGACATGTGCCACCATGCCCGGCTAATTTTTTCTATATATTTTTAGTTGTCCGATTAATTTCTTTCTAATTTTAGTAGAGACGGGGTCTCACTCTTGCTCAGGCTAGTTTCGAACTCCTGAGCTCAAACAGTCCACCCGCCTTGGCCTCCCAGAGAGCTAGGATTACAGGCGTGAGCCACCACGCCCGGCCACAGATAACCTTTTAAAAAACATATTTTTCATTCTTGCCCACCAACCATTTTTTTTTTCTTTCAAAAATAAAATTTCTTAGAACCTGATAAAATGGAAATTTATGGTAATGTTTCTTCTGGGAGACATCAAAAAATTCCACACCATACACTGTCAATGATGTAGCCAAATGAAGTACATTTATAAAGGTCTTTCAGTAATTGGGTTTCTTTGCCTTAAAATATATCTACGGTATAGTGTACCTATTTATAATGGGCTTCTGACATCTTTGAATTGTTGTAAACTCAGATAAGTATAAAATTTAAGAAATGGTTACCCAGCCTGTTGTGCTTACTTCTTGATGAACTAAAGAACATCCAACCTGTGTGGAAGTCTCCCAAGAGACTGGGGTAATTTATGTATATATGCTGTATTTGTGAAGTATAATAAATTGGGATTTGACCATACCTAGTCTTCCAATCCATTGCTTTTCCACTTTTTGACTGCTAAGTACTCTCGTCATTTCCTCATTCCTTCCGTTATCCAGCTTAGATTGCCGAGTTCACCAATCCAAACACCCACAACTCCCTCTGTCATACTGGCAGGACAGAAGACCAGCTCCGGTTAAATACAGCTGTCTCTGTTTTGGCTGCACCTGAGCAGCTAAATATGGCTCAAGAAAAACACATGACTGCTCTCACAGATCTTTAAATTTATAACCTCAAATATCAAGTTAACGCTCAACTGCCCAGCAGCCTACTATATTTCTCTAATGACTTCACTTTTTCTAGGAGATCGGGCTTTTGTCCCTATCACTTCACTGAAAGTATGCCTGTTGTCAACCTAAACAACAAATAGAGAGAGGCTCTCTAAAAGAAAATTATATTTATTTCTGAATGGGGCATCTAATGGCAATACACGTGCCATAGTAAACTATGTGTGTATTCAGGGAGGTAAAGGAAGACAAAGAGTTTTCAAGGAGAAATGAGGAGAATTATGTAATTGTTTTGAGATAATTATCCTTGGCTACAAAAATAAATAACAAAGGTTACACAAGTCCAAGATTGCACAGGTATTTGCTGGGGAGATACCCTAAGTATACCCTAAGTATTTTTTTTTCTGTAAGGTTGCAATGGCCTTTGGACAAGGTATGGTTTTTACAGTTTTTTGTGATAGTTTTTGTTATCAGGCATTTATGCATGAGAACCCTCTCTTCATGGCCTTCCCTAGATCTCTTACTCAGGGTTTTGTTAACACAAATGTCTCCATTTTGATTCTGACAACTTACACATTTTCCCCTTTTGATCAAGATGATTCCTAAAAGCATCACTGATCAATCATCCTGTAGTTAGGTTGTGATGTCCCTTGGTGTTGGGATGAACCTGTCCCAGGTTGCTGGTCTAGTCCTATGGCCTAGAAAGGGAATGGCAGCTAAGAGTCAGTGTCAAAACCCTTTTAATCACATTTGAGCAACAAGGGAGGTTTGAAGGAGGTGGCCCTCAGGCTAAGTCTACCTGGAGTCCATTATTAAATTCAGTTTTGTCTGTTCCATAGTCTTTTGCTATTATCTCAAAGTGTTTGGGCGGCATTGCTCTGTTAGGAGTTGTACTTCTGCAAAAATTTAACAAGTTATAGGTAAAAAGTTTAAAAAGGAAAATACAAAATTAATAGTAATATGGCAATTTCAGTTTGCATAATGGTTTTGAGTTGTGAACCTAGGCTTAAGGGCAACCGATTGAATAAATCAAACAACCATAGGGAATTGAGTGAGACCTGTTTTAACTATATGGCCTGTTTTCTTATCTATATGTTTCTCAACTTCCCAAAGGAATTTATGCAGGTATAGTATATAATATTAGCAATAGCACAGACAGTTTCTTATTTAACCAATAGAGCAATTTTCATCATCTAATATCCCATGACTGGGTTGAATTAAAGCAGAGAGTGAGCAACAGTTGTATTAGGGGTGTTGCCAAAGTCACCCACTAAGTGAACTAAAGTATCTTTTAGGTTAGGTTCTGTCAAGTTACCAGCAGAAGTACTGATTGTGAAATTTCAGTTATACCATTATCCTGCTGAGTGAAAAAGGTAGCATTAGAAGAGGTGAGTCATGTTATGATATGGGGATTTCGTTTTGACAACTTGGGAAAAGCTGACTCCAGCATGAGAACATCAACTTCTTGTCCTGGTTTGCAGTTGGAATATCTCTGGTTGTGGCACTGGGCAATTTGGTGAACTTTTTGTGTGGACCATCCATCAGGCACAAGACTTATTTCTTAAAATCCATTGTTTTCAGCTTACAGGATTTTAAGGAATAGAGCAGTTCCCGTTTTTAGCAATTCCGTGGAAGAAAGTTGGATTGGAGGATTTTAAAAGAATTTAGGATCTCGTCTATTCTATACATAAATAACAAGAACTTTAAACAATGCACAGAGCTACAATCTAGTAACAGAGGTATTACGGCTTTTCTTCAGAAAACATAACTTTTTCTGTCTACATTGAACACATAGGGATCTCAGATTTAAAAACCTCTTGAGGCTAAGAAGCCAAACTAAGGAAAACTTTAGATTTTACCTACAGTCTTAAGGTTCCTGAGCCTGCCAGGAAGTGACAGTTTTCATTTACTCATTATAAGCCTGGGAACTCTTGAATCCAGGCATTCTACGCACATTCTCAAATA